CGTCCGTCTGTCTGCCTGCCTGTCTGTCCATCCGTTCGTCTCTTCGTCTGCCTCCTGTCACTCTCCTCGCCAGCCTCCCGACGGTTCTCTCTCGCATCAGAAATTCATCTCCTCTCCTGTCCTCCTCCAGTCTCCTTTTGTTCCATCTCTGCCGCGGCCGCTATGCCGCCGGCTTATTATGTATTGTTTTATTGCCGGCTTTTAAGCTAACTTCGATCCGTTTATTCGCAAATTTCATTTCTATGACTGACGATTCTTCTTCCTATGATCCCTATTTATTCTCTCCCTTCCCCCCAACGCCCCCTTTCATCTTTATCTTTTCACTCGTTCTCATCTCCGTAGTTATCATCAAACGTAGTTTAGCTTGAAATCCGAAAAAAAGGTCTTAGTGTCTCTGACATTATCGCGAATGAAAAGACGTGAGAATGGCACGAGCAAGGAAACGATGAGATACTTAAAGGATTCGTCGAAATCAAATTATGAGTTTTTCGTTTTTTAATCGTGGAAATAAAAATAAGACACGACAGAGAAATTAAATTCTTTTATGCCTTCACGTACGATCGAGATCTCTCTCGAGATGAAAAACAAATAACAAACGAAGTTAATTTTGTTCTCGTAATAGAGATCACCCTAGATTGTGATTTGGGATCAAGATTACTCGGGGGTGGGGTGGTGGGGGGGAAAGCCGATGATTTTATTTTATTTTATTTTATTTCATTTTATTTCTTTTCTACGTACGATTAAGCAATATTCAAAGGTATCGAAATTTATCGTGCGAATCTTTTCGAATAAACGTTGTTTTTCCATGGAAGAGAAGTCGATTTATCTCTTTTATCTTCTCAAAAGTTTATCGGTAAATAATCCCGCTTTCGATAAGGTACCTAGCAAATAATTAAACATTACTCTCTTCTCGGCAGCCGTCATAAATTTAACCGAGTGCGAAAGTATGACTATGCTAGTGAGTCTAATTACCGTTAAATGAAACTGATTTAGCGCTTTCGAAGGTCGCATAAATCAAGGCGTCGTGCAACGTGCACTACTGCGTGCTTTTAAACGCGTTAAAGTATATTTCTTGGTCATCCATGTGATTTACGTATACACCTAAGGAGAATACATCCTAAGGAATATACTTGCCGGACATTTCGAAACAACAGAGATTTCTCAAAATCTTTCAAATATTTACGAGAACCATAAAGAATATTTTAAGTTAATCACGTAATGAAATAAACGTTTTGTTTATAGCCTCGGTAAGATAATTTCGGAGCTTTTATTATTTGCACATGAGATCGATCCTATTCAAAATTTATGACATCTCTTGAAAATATTTTGTTAAGGAAAACAATTTTTCGATATTTTTCTTGGAAGAAAAAAATTAAACGCTTATCGATTCATATAAATTTAAAACGACAAAATAGGGACTATTATTGACATAAAAATATTTTGAAGTATTATCCAGACACGAGTGCGAGAGAGACAAAGAGAGAGAGAGAGAGAGAGAGAGAGAAACTTTAGTGTCCATTGCATTACGAATGGAAGTAAAAACGTTGATGGTTTGAACAAGGTTACTGGCAATTAGCAACGTACGATCGGGTCTCCATGATTCGTGAGCGTGACTATCGTCGGTTGCCGAGAACTCGCGGCGAAGAGAGTTAGATCGCGGTATCGCGAACACCATGGATATTCAACCGGGTAAGCAGTTAACCAGTTTCACATAGCAACATGTGTTGCACGCTACGTATGTAGCTACTCTGGCTATCTGTGTAACCGAGTTCGTAGCACATGTTCCTATGGAAGATGGACAGAGGAAAAGGCTTACGAGAGGAATAGTGAAAATAAAAGGAGGCGGACGGAGAGAGGACAGCTACGAGAAGCAGCAAGGTTTGCGTGACGCTATGAGGAGCGAATAAGATGGAGAAACTAGCTTGTAAAGGCGATAGGCGAAAAAGGAAGGAAGGAAGGAAGGAAGAGATATATATAATGTATCAAGCGTTCAAGCAAATAAAATGGAACAAGAAAAAGAAAAATTGAAAAAGATAAAAGGAAAAAAATTCAACAGCGAAAAGGGCAACGAGCATAACTGATAAGACCAATTATTGTTTCTTATAGTTTTTAATGTAAATCCGTGTTCGATTTAAAAAAGAACTTGTATGACGTTGACATAGATTAAAAGATCTTCTGTAGAAGAATGATGGATGAAAGAAGAGAAAAAGGGAGACGAAACTTTAAAGAACGAAAGAAGAAAAGAAAAAGTTTAAAGCTTCATACGTATGTACTAATGTAAGTACTAGCTAGCAGCGAGGTACCAGCAGCTCAAGTAGCCGCGAGGACAGGAGGAACGGATATCGTACGGCAACATCTCCTCGAGTGTCAGGACTCTGGTCGCTTTTAAACTCGGTACGCCACGTACCTACCCGTCGTATCTTTCCTTGCACTGCACCAGTATATGCAACCCCCCGTGCACCTTGTTAGCGGCCTGCCAATAGGAACCGCACGACGTTACTTCGTGCGGCCAACATTTGCATCCTCTTCTCGGTAGTTGCCGTGACCTTGACCATAACTGGATATATATATATATATATATATATATATATATATTTGTGCGATCGTCCAAGTAAAATAAATGTAACCGAAAGATTTCGTAAAAATTATTTATTGATAAACAATTTTTCATAGCGATAAATTAAATAAATGTTACAACAAGACGATCAAGTATTCGTCAATATCTCTCGCATGAAGAGAATATTTAATAAATGATTGATTATTTCGTTGAAATCTCTTTCGTCCGAAACAAATGGAAAGATTTGAGTTTGACTATGATCGAGAGATATAGAAAAGAAAAGAAAAGAAAAGAAAAGAAATGATGCGGATGATGCTGCGTCGAAATATTAATGGGGAAAAATGTTGATGAAAGGAAAAGAATAAAGAAGAAATAAAGAGAAGAGGAGGAAGGAAGAAAAGAGAAGAAGCGAGGAAGGAAAGAAGAAAGGTAGAGTGTACGAGCGAGGCAAGTCGAAAGGGTAAAAGAAGAGACGATATTCGAAGCGGGCGGGGCTGCCTGCCTGCCGGTGGTCCGCCCGCTCGTTCTCTCTCTTTCTCTCTTTCACTCTCTTGCAAGTTCTCGCATTCCCCTCCCCGCAACATGCTTGAATCCGAGCGATCCTCAGGGTCCTCCTTTTATCTCTTCTCGTCGTCGTCCTCGTCTTCTTCGTCGTCCTCGTCGTTGTCGTCGTGCTTGTCTTCTCTCTCTCTCTCTCTCTCTCTCTCTCTCTCTCTCTCTCCTTTTTTTTGTACCCCCCGTTCGTTTCTCTCACTCTCACGAGTAGGATCTTGAAACCGTGCGGTGCTTCCACGAGCAAGAATCGTCCTCGGTCGCGTTGCCTTCTCTCGAAGGGCCGCTCTGGGAGAGAGACAATGGACAATGGGGACATAAATCTGCGTAATTAGTTGCCGATGCTCCTACGGATCAATGTGCGATCTCCTTTCTTCTCCCTCTTCCGTGGCCCATCCGCGAACAAACGATCGTTTGGTTGGTCAGTCGGCAAAGTAGGACGGTGCTCCTGGTTTGTCCCCACCCCCTCTTTCTTTCTCTCTCTTTCTCTACATTGAGGAGGTGTGCTGCCGTTGACTATCTTCCGCCTCCCCGTACCTCTCTCTACTCATCCTCCTTCTCTTCCTCTTCTTCTTCTTCTTCTTCTGCTTCTTCTTCTTCTTCTGCTTCTTCTTCTTCTTCTTCTTCTTCTTCTTCTTCTTCTCTTACGCTCTCGTACGAGTACCAGAAGAGATCGCCACCGACGACACTCCCTTCCTGGAGGTGGACACGCCGTTCTCAAGATGGCGGTCTTCCGAGGGTTCTACCGATAAAGAGAAAGAGATAGAGAGGGAGAGAGAGAGAGAGAGAGAAAAGGAAAGAGCTTCAAGACCACATCTTCGTTCGTCGTTCGTCTCGTATTCGATGCTCCATTGCCGCTTCTATGTACTATGTATACTCCAAAGTTACCTCCATTTTGAATATAAAACCGATGAAAAGCGTTCGCTATTTCGACAATATTTCGTTATCCAACGAATCGAATGTTAATCACGATTAATATCGGGGAAAGAAATGAGCTTGAATGAAATTGTACGAGTTTGTGGGCCACCATTCGACGGCTTTCTAAGATTCGTCGATTCTCTTCTAAAAGGAAATGATTTGATTAAAACTCATAATGCAAATGACGGAAGTTCTCTCTCCCGGATTCACAATGGTACAGTGTCATAGTCGACGACGTATCCAACGTTCTCATCGTAGATGTCGACGACGCCATCGCTGTCGCCTTCGTAGTCGTCGTTGGCAGCGGCGCCGTCGCGAAAGGCTGATAAATGAACCGATAGTGCCATTGTGTTACTCGCCATCTGCACCTTTATATCACTCCTGGGTACTTAGCTCCGTCATTTCTGAGCGTCTTCTCTCTACCGGGTCGCATGCTCTCTGCCCCCTCCTTTCTCCTTCTATCGTACTTAATCACCTCGTGCCCGATGCTTTAGATGATAGAAAGTCCTACTTCACTGTTTCCAACGGCGTTTCTGTCACGGATGGCTGCAGTCGATGGAACCGCGATATCGAAGATTTCAGCCTGCGGATATATATTCTATAAATTATCAAAACCTGAAACGATTTCTCTGCCAATCCTACGACGGTAATTGATAAAAAAGAAAAGAAAAGAAAAGAAAAAAAAGAAAAAAAAAGGGAAAAAAGAAAGAAAAGAAGGAAAAAAAAGGTAGACTTTCTTCCCGACGATTCGAAATAGAAATTCTGACATTTTCTAAAATCATTTTCATTCGTTCTTTGGGCTTTGCTTTTAAACGCAAATTACCTGTTAAATAAATACGATGAATTAATTACTTTAGGATTAATGAATGCGATTTAAATGATATTAGAAAATATTTATGTTCGAGAGCCGTAATGTTTAACAAAAAAAAAAAAACGAGATAATCAAAAAGCAAATTTGTTATTTTTTTCACAGGGGAGGACGGCGTCGAAGGCTCAGGGCCTGGCACGGACCTCCAGGGCGAAGAGGGCGATTGCGTCGACGAGGATGGCCCCGTTAGCCCTAGCGAGAGAGGTTGCGCACCTGCGGCCAAAGAAGACGAAGATGGCGAGGCGAGCGACGAGGAGGATGACGAGGAAGCATCGCCTCCCACGCCACCACCCGCTTCTGCTTCCGCGAGATTGAACCCTACCATCTTGAGGGATACAGGACCACCTGACAGGTATTCAAGTTGGTCATTATATCATCTGACGCGATTCGAATCAAATCGAATAATTATTTTTTTTTCTAATATTATCTAGTAATATTTAAGGGAAATAATGAAATGATGAATATACTTCGTCGAATTTACGAAGATATCCAATTAAGAATGAAATTTAATAAAGTATTACGTTAGTTTGACTGATACTATAGATCTTTGACACGCGCTTGATTTATATCGACTGCTCCTTTGATCGATATATATATATATATATATATATATATATATATATATATATATATATATATATATTCTAATGTCTGTCACGTATTGGCAATTCTCTTTCAAAGCAAATAGTTTTTTTCATTTCTTTTTTTTTCTTTTTTTTTTTCTTTTTTAACATAGAAACCCGCGCACTCGTGATATTTTAATTAAAGCAAAATTAAAAAATTACATCACGCTCTATATCTCCTATCAAAGATAAAGGAATAGTTGAACGGTGACAATAGATCGTGCATATTAAAGTCTGTTAACGCACATTAGATGACTTTTCAGTTGCTTTCAGCTAGTCGTAAAGTAGCCGGAGTAATAGGCTTTGTGGAATACAAATCAAACAGTATTGATCATAAACACATGCGACTTATATGAAATCCGTTTCGTATTGAAACTCTTTAGCAAGTATTTAGTCGTCGTTCGTTCAGTGGGCGCGTATCAAAAGATAAAAGTAACTTTTAAGTGATCAAACTCATTTAATCGACCATCGTAAAAGTTACCAATGCACGGCTAGCCTTAATGCGCGGTACGGTATTTACAAAAGGCTATCAGCGAAGCTCATTCGAGCCTCGCGTCGATATCAAAGCTTCAACCTTCTTAGCCGAAGGAGCTTAAAATAAACACTTGGCCGAACAAGTCTACTACGAGAAATTAGTGTGTAAATACTTTCCTCTAATACGTCATTGTATCGAAAAAAGAATAACGTATCGTCCAACTTTATCGAAAGAAAATGATACACGTGATGACATTCTCTTCGAGAAATCTTGATCACACAAGGAACAAAATGTTTTTTCAATGTACGCACGTACATACGTAGTTACTCCTTTAGTACTATTATCAACATTACGAGCAAAAGAAAGAGGATTTATCAAACATTATTAGCCCATATAAAATATTAGTCAATTACATGGGAAAGCAAATAGTCACGCGTTGTTATAAAATTAAGTCTTTAAAACGGAATCGCGTAACAAAGCCACACTTACAATTAGACGATTGCATGTATGACGAGATGCGGCACACAAAGAGAAAGGGAGAGAGAGAGAGAGAGAGAGAGAGAGAGAGAGAGAGAGAGAGAGAGAGAGAGAGAGAGAGAGAGAGAGAGAGAGAGAGAGAGAGAGAGAGAGAGAGGACGATCAACATTGTGGCGTTTCAAACTCATTAGTCGGTGCTTTATCCGTAGACTAGATAATAAAGCACCTAAATCATCGGGGAAGCCATACGCTGCTTTTGCACTTTGATGTTGCCGTCGTTGGCTCCCTCTTCTGTGTGTGCAAGCATCTGTGTTTGTTTGTTGTATATGTGTGTGTGTGTGTGTGTGTGTGTGTGGAAGCGCGCGCATATGTGTGTGCAAGTGCGCGCATATGTGTGTGTTTTACGTTCTGTTCCTTGTTTGAACGCAACAAATCGTCATAGAGCTGGTCTCGTCGTGTGCGCTGTACTGGCAGGTTAAGCGAGAGAGAGAAAGAGAGAGAGAGAGAGAGAGAGAGAGAAAAAGAGAGAGAAGGAGAAAGTGGGAGAGAGAGAGAGAGAGAGAGAAGAGTAGGATGGAGGCAGAGGGATAAATAAGCTGGTGTCAGAGCTGATATCGGTGGCTGCCGCGCAACGTCGCACGGCTAATAGAGATAGGCACGTGTTACGGAGAGCGTCCTACGCCGCCGCCCTGCACAGGAGCCCGCTAGCGGCACCCGTTAGAGGCACCCAGTGCTCCGCTAACGCCTCCTCCACCTCCACCTCCACCTCCATCACCACCTCCACCTCTAGCTTCTCTCACTAAACTAGGGACGGGACGGAGGGCGGAGGTGTCGTTCGTCCCCTCCCCTCGAACCGCCAGCCCCCAAAAACTTCCCCTGCATGCGTGGCGGTGGTCCCCTTTCATCTCGCGGCACGCATTCGGCATTCAGTCAGGAGGAGTCAGTTACGAGCGAGCCGTCGACAGCTCTACTGTGTCCCTTCCGTTCCGCGTCGAGAACACCTCGTCGTCAAGTGTGAAAAAGAGAGAGAGAGAGAGAACATACGCGCGCGCCCGCGCGCGCGCGAAACGCTTCGACCACGTGCTTCTACTGTCCGTGCTTGCTTCTCGAGATAGATCGTTCTCCTATACTTGGATGACGTTCCTTAAGGTATCTAATATTTCTTTTTTTCTTTTCTTCTTTCCTTTCTTTTTCTTTTCCTTTTTTTTTTCTTTTTTTCTTTTTTCTTTTTTTCTTTCTTTTCTTTTTTTTTTTTTTTCTTATTTCTCTTCCTCATGGTGTTTGAGAATTATTAGATCATACGTTTCTCATGTTCTCTCTCTCTCTCTCTCTCTCTCTCTCTCTCTCTCGCATGTGCGTGTGCGTTAATGTGATACATGCTAATGGAACTTTACTCGAGGGAACATCTCTGGTCGACTTGGACTTTTATGTATTTTCGTATTTTCGAAAAAAAAACAAAAAAAAAAAGAAAAATCAATATTATATATGTCGTGGACCCAGTCGCATTTTACGCGTGCAACGAACCGACGCGCCACAGTAAGGCTAACGCGAATCATCTCTTTTCCCGTTGCACTTCTGTATTTTTATTCGCATGCATATACTCGTAGATACGAGGAGTTAAGAACGACAGGCGTTTTCAAGCGTGAATTATCCATCGCTGTTCGCGTCGCGAAACATGCCAGCGTCAAGAGAGGCTCTATCTATCACGCGAGACTTTTTTTTTTCTACTTATATTCATCACCGATTCCGGGTATTCGTCGTTTCCATCGTACAGCAACAGCGAAAGCTGTTTACGTAGTAATTCTCATGGCGGCCGGTTATGAAATATTAACGTCACGGCGTCACCTGCGTTGTGCCGGCATTCGCGGATCAGTTACAAGAAATTTATCGCTCGGTTATCATGATTAATGATGCCTGTCCGGTCGAGAGTTCCGGTACGAACGATTCGTGGCATCGAACGCGCTTTGTAGAGATCGGTGGGTGGGGGAGGGAAAGTCGCAGATGAGAGAAATAGATAGGTAAAAATAGGAGAAAGAGAGAGAGAGAGAGAGAGAGAGAGAGAGAGAGAGAGTAGGTGAATCGAGAAATCAGCAATGAGTCGAACGTGACAGGCTAATCGAAGGGAATATCAAAGGCCATCCTTTTTTAGTAGCCCTTTTTGTTACTCTTTCAGGGAACAAATGAGTCCACGCTGTCCCTCGAGAGATTCTCGGGAATCCTCCGGTCCAGCGACCGGAAGTCCCCCACCCTTAGCGACGAGGAGCAGCGCGAGTCCAGTTAGTCCGAGTAGTATCGTGCCTCTACCCCTTGGGACTCATCCTCTCCTTCCACCGCATTCGGCGGCAATGATGGCAGCGTATCTTCAACAAACACATCAACGACTCCTCCTCGGACATTCGCCTTTATCACGAGGCTCGGTATCGCCGTTGGTATCGTCCTCTTGTTCACCACCAGCCGCGACTCCAGGTCTCTTGGTCTCGCCAAGCAGCGTCGGTGAGGTATCACCCTCGGCAACCCCATTGCCAGCCGTTCTGGACTTTAGCACAAGAAAAGCTTCCTCGACAGAAGAGGAGGAGGAAGAGCATATTCTGAATCTCAGTAAACCGCCAACGCCGTCCTCTTCGACGGAAACGAACAACGGCCCGTTGGATCTGTCGGTGCCTAGTAGAAAACGACCGGGTCCCGAGGATTCCTCGCCTCCACCACCGCGTAAATCCTCGAGATTGGCCGGTACGGCTCCCACGAGTCATCAAGATGCAACGGCAGCAGCCAGCTCACCGTCCACGTTCGGTAGGCCGCCGGTAGTGTCACCGTGGACGTCGCCGGTCGTGGCCTCGCACTTTCCATACTTTGCCGCAGCCGTAGCGGCAGCGGCTACTAGTCAGCAGCAATTGTCCCCGAAAAGTACTGGCGGTGTCGTAGATCATCATCAACTTTGGAACGGCAAAATGAAGCCACCAGCCGCGCTCGAGAAATCGTATCAACCTAGCGAAGCGACGAAGGCCTTGGAAAAAATGAGCGAGCTGAGCAAACTAGGTGGTGAGGATCTTTTCAGGTCGTCCTCGTGCAGCGGCAGTAGCGGTGGAACGTCCATAGGCAGCACGCCGTCCACGACGTCGAGTAGTCGTCACAGTGCTTGGCAATCTCATTGGCTGAACAAAGGAGCGGATCAGGCCAAAGATGTTCTCAAATGCGTATGGTGTAAACAAAGCTTCCCGACGCTCGCCGCTATGACAACGCATATGAAGGAAGCGAAGCATTGCGGCGTTAATATGCCCGTACCACCCCCGGCCGCTGCTTTACATCCCCAACAAACGACGATGCCAACGATACCGCCGCCGCAACAATCGCACCAGCCGCAAACTTCGACAAGCAATCCCGGTAGCAACAACTCCGCCGCTCCAACTAACAAACAAAGTCCATCGGAGTTGAACCTTCTCATAAAGGAAACCATGCCATTACCGAGAAAGCTGGTCAGAGGTCAAGACGTTTGGCTCGGGAAAGGTGCTGAACAGACCAGACAGATTCTCAAATGTATGTGGTGCGGCCAGAGCTTCCGTTCCCTCGCAGAAATGACCTCGCACATGCAACAAACGCAACATTATACCAACATTATCTCCCAAGAGCAAATCATTTCTTGGAAGTCTTCCGATGAGAGCAAGGGCGGCGGTGGTGGTGGCAGCGGTAGCAGCGGAGGTGGAGTCGGAAGCGGAGGAAATACGGGTGGAGTACCGCCTGGTGCCGGAACCGGTCCACACGGAGGTAACGCCGGTGGCGGTCCCGGGGCCGGAGCAACCAGCAGTCATGTCAGCGCCGTATTAACTTGCAAAGTTTGCGATCAGGCCTTTAGTTCATTGAAGGAGTTGAGCAATCATATGGTCAAGAATTCGCACTATAAAGAACATATTATGCGCTCGATCACCGAGAGCGGCGGTCGTCGGAGACAAACGCGCGAGAAGCGAAAAAAATCATTGCCTGTGAGAAAGCTATTGGAGTTGGAACGCGCGCAAAACGAGTTTAAGAACGGCGACGCTGCGACCGGTCTGAGTCACAGCCTTGGAAAGCACGCCGGTAGGATCACCTGCGAGAAATGCGGCGAGAAGATCGAGACAACCATTTTTGTCGAGCACATACGTCAGTGCATAGGAGCCGGAACGGTCGGTGTAAATCAACGTAACTTCTTGAAGAACGCACTCATGTCGAATCATTTGCCAGCGACTTTGCCACCGTCGAGCGAAAGCGGTCGTAAAAGCGTGAACGAGGACGCCTCGTCGGTATCGTCGAGGCACCACCGATCGCCTTCTTCGGCTAGCGATGCTACCACGCCAGGTAAGGACACACCAACGCCGACAACGAACGAAACTACCGGCACGTCCTCGCCTTCCGTCTTAAATGCCATCGAGAAATTGATCGAGAAGAGCTTCGATTCTCGTGTAAGACATGGCACGGCAGGTTTGCATCACGCTCAACCAGGCGCACCTATGGGCACTAGCATTCTAAAAAGATTGGGCATAGACGAGAGCGTTGATTATACGAAGCCTTTGGTGGATCCGCAAACGATGAATCTTCTTCGATCTTATCAGCAACAACAGCAGCAGCAGCATTATAATGCGAGCGCAGCCGCGAGGAGAGAGCGAAGCGGCAGCGAGTCCAGTTCCATATCGGAAAGGGGAAGCGGTAGAACGGACACGATGACACCGGAAAGACGTATGGATCTGACAACTGTTGGCCACGAGAGGCATTCTACCGGCCATTCTCATCATCATCGTGTCACTCCGGATAAACAAGCTACTACGCCATTACCAGCACGTCATCATCTGGGTACGGAAGAGTCCGGTGACGAGGAGCCTAGCTCGGTGGTTGTCAAGAAGGAACCCAGGGACGAAGAAACGGACGAAAGAGGAACGAACGAGGAGGAACAACAGGCGCAATCGTCGAGAGAGGTATTCGTTAAGAAGGAAATCGTGGACGATTGTAGAGAGGACGAAGAGCAAGGTTCGTATAATCATCGACGAAGCAGTCTTCACGAGACGGCTGAAGAGGGTAGAGAAGTTCCATCGCCTCGCATGAATCCACCAACACCTAGATCGACCAGCCAAGTTGAACAAGTGGCTCGTAGTCCTTGCAGAAACAGTACAAGCAGTCCTACTAGTAGCGATAGATCTGTCACCCCGAGAGGAACGCCAGACACGAAAGCTTCCAGCAGCCTCGGTGCACTCTCTTCCATGTTCGATAGTCTATCCGGCGGTGGTGGAGGAGGTACTGGTAATACTGTTGATTCGCAAGGACGAAAGACGAGCAGTCATCCGCTTGCGGCTCTGCAAAAACTCTGTGACAAAACCGAAACACGTGGTCCCAGTGGCAGCGGCGCGTCCAGGTCTACTTCTGGCTCCGGTAGTACGATCGCACCTGGAAGCGGTAGTACGGTAGGCGCCAGTGGACCAGGAACCGGACCCACACCAGGAGCCATTTTAGCCTTCAGTTGGGCCTGTAACGACGCCGTAGTCACGGCAGACTCGATCATGAAGTGCGCCTTCTGCGACACACCGTTCATCTCCAAAGGGGCCTATAGGCATCATCTTTCGAAGATGCACTTCGTGAAGGATGGCGTCATCCCAGATCCATTGACAATCGGAAGATCGGCAGCAGCGGCCGCGGCAGCCGCAGCCGCTGCGGCATCACAAGCGACTTCCGGTGGCCCGAGTCATAGTTCCTCGTCTCCACCTACGTCTCAGCGCAACAAGTCGCCGCCTCTTCCGCAAGCGAACGGCAGCCCATCCCAGTCCGCGGCCTCTCCGCTCGAGGAGAGCCCACACTCCAAGTTTCTCAAGTATACGGAGCTGGCCAAACAGTTGTCCAGCAAATACGTATAGTCCGAGCTCCGTAAGTAGCGGTGCCACTTGTACATAAGTGTATCTATACTGTAACGACTGTAACTAGCGATGTGGTTGGAAATTTCGCCGCGCGGACGTCCTACGCCAATGGCATTTTACTTCGCTTTCAAATTTATGTTCAAAGAGCGCCAGATCGATGATAGTTGGAAAGTAAGCGATTCGATCGATACCGTTCGCGATAAGACGAATCGAGGGAAAAAAAAAAAGAAAAAAAAGCTCCTTAATCTTAAACCCAATAGACTTTTTACAATTTCACATATTGATCTTAATCGTTCGATGATATTACGAATTATATTAACTTCTTTCGTCGAAGAATTCAAAACTAGTACTTCTTAAAAATCCAAGATCGATATCAGCTATTTAGATTTATCAGGCAAAAGGTGATGAGGATAGGGAGGAAGGAAGGAAATAGAAAAAGAAAAAAAGACAAAAAAAAAAAGAAA